CCTTTCTTGTGACCAGGGCTGCGTCGACGTCTCTGGGATGCCGGAAACAGACTCAATACGTGCCAACGTCTTTTATTTTGTCATTCACACGTACTGCACACGTCACACCTTTTTGAAGGACTTGAACAGCTTTCAACATCTCTCCTTGTACATCAACAGACATACGTTTATACCAAAGGCAATTGCGGTATACAGTGTCAAATGCTTTCTTAAGTCTACTAAACACACATCAGTTAATAGTCCCGCAGGTATTCTATTATTTACCATATTATTTAACGTAGACAAATGATCGATACAGATTCTGTCAGAATGGAAACCATTTTGTCAGTGTCAATACCACTGTCTTGTGAGCAGCCGCACCTTGTTGATTCCATAAAAATAACGTTTTTAACGATTTTATGTCATTCACTAAACCCACACGATCCATTTTCTTCCGTAAAGTGCTTCCGTTGTGACTGTTATGTTAGTTTAAAACTTCTGATTGTTGTTCTAGCTGCAGTAAATATTTAGATTTTTTGAGTTAGCTTTGCTCTCACTTAAATACACAGATTTCAGTGCACATTTTTTCTACGTGCTTCCTTTGACAGTAACAATGCTAATAATGCTAGCTTCACATACATGTGAGGTGAAATGGGTTTTAAGATTATTGCACTTCTATAGCGTACATGAACATGTGTACGTGGCTGCTTTTACTAATCGGAACTAATGCCAATTTTATAGTGCTAGACCACGCGTACGGAGATATCGTGCCACACTTAACATGAAGACCCAGCTTTAACATGAAGACCCTACTCAGACACATTGTACTGACTCCGAGACGACCAGTCCTGGTTTTAGCTGCCGAACGCCAGGCAGGTATCAACAAGTACCATATTGTAGCATCTTTTGGTATGACGCGGCCGGGGATCGAACCAACGACCTTCCGCTCTCCGAGCAGACACTCTATCCACTGGACCACGGAAGCGATCCTTTGATGTACATGCAATTCTATGTATCTTAATATATGAATTGTTCCTTCCTGTATGATGCCAAGATACGCCTTTCCTAACCACAGATTATCGAGACATTCTGCTTTAAACATTCTGTTTGCCATTCCACAGATCTGTGGTGTCGAAACGGGTCGATAAACAGCCTATCAAAATTCCTCTTCAATCACATTATTAACGAAACCATGCATATTAAATGGCAACATCGAAAAAGAAAACAATAATTAGCAAGCAATAATTTTCGTACGTTGGGTTTCAATTCAGTATTCTTTTAATAATGAGGGAATGCCTCGTTTCTTTGTGACAGAGAGTAATGATTTTCATTTTTTACATGTTTGTTGTTGCTTCTGTTGTATTGAATGCATGTGGTTTATTTGGTGTTTTATAGAATAACTATACCACATGACTGAACATATGTCATTGTGTATGCTTAGCAATGCCAATAATACATATCTCTCAAGCTGTGAAATGCAAATTGATTCCGTGACAGATTCTGTGATCAATGCAACTGGCACTAATTGAGGTTCGCTAATCTGTGGGAACGACATTGCTGTGTAGCAACAAGAATTGTAATCCATAATAATTCTCCTTACCAAGAATGTTTTGATTCTCTGCTATCAAAATTGAACATTGGCAGATCCTTATTGACGTTATATGTAAATATTGATGCTTAGGTCTCCGCATTATCAAGTAAAAGCTTTCCACAAACTTTCTGTAACTTACGAAAATAGAAGCAGAAATCAGACTATACACAGCAAATGATGCATGATAAAATGATAGGTCATTTTTTTATTTATAGGTTCCACATACTAGTAGGATGAGTTGCTGCTGGTTATAATCATAATGCCGATCAGATATTTTGTCTTTGGTTGAAATCATTATTTACGTTGCTGTCTCCTGCTGACCAAGATTAAAAGTATCACTAAGAGTAAAATCTTCCAAAAGTGGCCAAACCAATATAAGAAATTAAACTGTAAACTAAAACATGTAAACACTAAATGGGTGTATTTCAGTGAGAGCACCCGGGGGCACATGGCCCAGTCGTCTAAGGCGCCGCGATTCGCTGTGCAGAGTTGCGTCTCTTGGACACGCCAGAAACCTGTGATTGTTGGTTCGAATCCTGGTTCGCCCCGATTATGTTTCTAGGTTTGTCAGCACCATACCCGTGCTCGTGGGGATGCAGAACGTTGGACAAAACACGGACGGCCATCACCGCTGCCAAGCTTAAATCTGAACTGACTAACCGCGAGTCGTGTAACCCGAACCTCGGATGTTGTTTTGACCATCCCAGGCGTGTAGTGGCAGCAAAATTGGACTTACAGCAGGACATTGAGGTCGGACATTTCAACACGCCCTCGACATGTTGGTTTTCTTACACTTTTGCGTTCTCACTTTGTCACAAATACAACCGCACGCGCAAATACACATGCATTATTTACATAATTAGATAACATTTTGTTGCAACGTGTTAAGCTTAAGGCGACGTTTGACGTATTATATTTCATAAAAAATGTAATGATTAGTACTATATCAACTCTTAAGGCAAGAATTCATTTGATCAAATATATCTATTCTCTGAGAGTTATTTGCAGAAGCGCCAAATGAATTAGTTTATTCAACCTCACTGCACATATCCATTACATAAAATGAATAATAGATTGTGGTGATACATGCACCATATCATACAAAGGTAACTACATTATCATTATCCAAGTACTAACAAGTGAGTCAATAACTTTATTATACCAGAGCTCGTTGTCTGAGGATTAATGCGTTCATGATTAATATTTGATGTCCTGTAAGAATTCTAAGTTCTCCTTGAAAGGCCTACCCTGAATACTGAACGTCAACAGGTTTACGGTGACCCATAAAGATTTCATATTGGCTAAGCCTTGTCGTCATTTACCAAGAAAGTGGTTTTACATTTACGTTGTTATTGAGAACCTGTACAGTTCCCGTAGAGAGATATTGCTACAGTAAATTACTGAAATGTCGATCAACATTGTGTATTTTCAGATTTGAGGGTGTCTGATGCTCTCAATTCGTAAATCTAAAAACACGTAACATTTATCGACATTTCAGTAATGTTGTGCAGTAATGTTAAGCAGCAATCGCACAGACGTCATGACACAACTGCTGTAGTCTTATGTTACCATGACAACAGAAGCGATCAGGTTAGCCATTAGGATGTCGAGAGAAAAAAACATTTAAATCGAACGTTTTCAGATAAATATTGTTATCATTTCATCTGAATATGACCGCCTCCGTGGTCTAGTGGTAGAGCGTCCGCCCGGTGAGCGGAAGGTCCAGGGTTCGATCCCGGGCCGCGTCATACAAAAAGACGTTAAAAGATTGTACTTGTTGTTACCCTGTCTGGCGCTCGGCATTAAGGGGCTAAAACAAGGACTGGTCGGCTCGGAGTCAGTATACTGTGTCTGAGTGGGGTATTCATGTTAAACTGCGGCATGGTATCTCAGTGAGCTAGCACTATAAATCGGCATCAGTCCGGACTAGTACAAGCAGCCACACACACACATACACGTGCATGCACGTCGCTATATAAGTGCAATAATCTTGGACGCGACGTTAAACCCAATTTCACCTCACCTCACCTCATCTGAATATGAAAAACAGACAATAACTCCGCGTGCGCTCTTAACTTGAAATTTCGTACAAGAGTAAAATAACAAGAGGACAAAGTCATCGATATTCTCTGCAATGGTAAATACTTGTGAATGTGGCAACTAGTTATATTTATTGCATACTTATCCCCATTTTCAGCCTGAGTCAAAGTTGTTGCCATGGAAACTCGAAAAATACGTTTTTAAAAGTCACCAACACTATAATTAGCTGTGTGCCAAGTTTGGAAATAGTTTTAATACCCCACGCAGTTGCCAATACATTCAATGTTTCACACTCTGTGATGAGCAGACTATGGAACATGTACAAACAAACCCAAAATGTTGACAAATCGTCATATTATCAACAGATGTCAATCGTGTACACAAGGTTGAAAATGGGGTAATCGCAGCTGATTAGGTGTCATATTTTATTCACTTTGAACTTCCCTGATAGGTGTGGTCGCTTCTTACGACAAGCATAGTCGACTTTTACGGCAAGCATGGGTTGCTGAAGACCTATTCTACCCCGAATCTTCACGGGCCTCATAGGCAGTTATGCCTCGTCGAGTGAATGAACGTTTGACAAATCGTGACGTCTTTACGCACTACTCATCCCAAAACGTGAACTTTAAAATTTCCCATCTATCGTCCTTCAAGATCGTTGGCGGCTATAACATCTACTGTCATACTTCACTACCGGCTACTACTGCGTTCCCAATTCGTTCGTTATTATCGTGCAGCTATTGCTAGAAACTATTATCGCTTAAATTTTGGAAATTTTGGAGCTTAAATTAAATTGCCTTGTTTTGATTTTGCCAATCCGAAATTCCGATTCATATACTTAAAGAAAACGATTAGCAAGGAGGGGAGTACAATTGGGGCCCAATTGGATTCCCACCTCTCGTTTAAATGTATTGTACGCAGATATCACATATATGTTATCAATGAGGACATTCTTCAGGAGAAATCAAAACTCATGGCCCCATTAAGGTCAACATTCATATACAATCTTTGATACTTACCTCACTGTCCTTTGTTGATGGCATTTTGTAAATACATAATTTCACACGTCACCCAAACAATTATGCAGAACGAAAGGGTTTCCCTTTCGAATTACTTGGAGGCTTGGTAAAGTCGCCAAAGGAATGTCATGATACGATGATTGTTAGCTCGAATCTCTGATTGTGATTCTTGGTTTGTCAGCACCATACCCATGCTCGTCATTTTCAACAAAGTAAGCTACATTTGGGTCACTTTGGGCTTTTCTTCCAACAATAACATATCTACTCTCAAAATGGTGTTGAGCGAAAATCGCTTATTCATTGTAATCATCAGTCTATAAATATATGTTTTTATTAATATAACTAACATGCCTTATTTATTTTTTTTCCAGACTCCTCTTAGCGTCCGTGGAAAATATATACATGCTTTGGATTCTGGATTGTCTTTTGTTGGAACGCCAACAGGAAACATGTATGTGTATATGCTAGTTTTGGGGATTGTAGCGTCTCATGTACAATCAACATCAGTAACTGTAGATGTGTAAGATAAGCGATTGTCATCACATTAAATGTGCGATCTGCACCAAGCACCCTACATTTTCGCCTTTCAATGATACTTAAGAATTGACTTTTACTTTGTGTGGGTTCACTGGACTATGGGCCTTCAAAGATCTATAGTAAAATAAAAAAGTTCCTCAAAACGAGAGGTGACATGAGAGTATGTATGCTAAATATGCTCTACAGTAACAACTTTTGTAGTTTCGTTTGTAGAACAAATGTATTCAAATAATATCCCCAGGAATTTGGAAGTAGTCTGTCAGTGTTTAGTTCATTTCAAGATTACATTCTCGTAGTGACTGTCAAAATGTGTCGTCCATCGCTTTTGAACTTCAGTTTCGCGGGCATATGACCGACCTCTCGTCCAATAGAAAAGTCGTATATCGTGTAAACTTCAAATTAAAAAAGCAGCAGAAATTGTGGAATCCAGTCCGTGCAGATTTGCAAATGACACATCAAGTGCCTTAACTCTGGAATGTATTCCCCGAAGCTCCTCAGAGCCTCGCCTCATTCAATGCTCTTAATGAGAGCCGACTCAGTGTCACCAAGCTGATGTCAACCTTTCGTAATGTGACACAGTTTGATACATGGAAACTGATTTTGTTTTCATCATTGCACAGCATGTTCGAGGCTATGTCTGTACTGGGCATGCCTGACATGCGTGCTAAACATGTAGAAAGGTATCAACACCAGGTTCGACGAATACTTGGTTGCATTACATCAGCAGCATCTTAATAGTGGTTGGTTTGTTGTTTAACGCCGCACTCAGCAATATTCCAGCTATATGACGGCGGTCTGTAAATAATCGAGTCTGAACCAGACAATCCAGTGATTAATATCATGAGCATCGATCCACGCAATTGGGATTGATGACATGCATCAACCAAGTCAGCGAGCCTGACCACCCGATCCCGTTAGTCGCCTTTTACGACAAGCATAGTCACCTTTTACGGCAAGCATGGGTTGCTGAAGACCTATTCTACCCCGGAATCTTCACGGGTTTCTTAATAGTGGCCATGCCCTGGAACATGCCCTGAATATGATTCATGATGAGGCAATGTCGTTTAGATTAAATATATGTGACATTTCTTTTGTCATCAATAATTTTGATTGATCCATTCATATAATTTTCACCACGATGTTGCCTTTCACGGCACATAATCGAGACTATACTCTGGCGTTGAAGTTTCTTATTTGTGTGATGTCAGTGAACTGTTTTGTTTCCCAATGAAGGTTTAGCATTTTCTTCGTCACTGCAAATGGAGACTATGCACTGAAGATTAAGGTATTAATCGACCAGCTGACTGTGGCGAGGAAGTTTCGTGTTGCTTCAACCTGGCAGGAGAGTGAGTCTGACTTGTTGTCCCCTTTCCCGTTTGAAATGGCAAAGAAGTTTACGATGGATATAGTTTCAACTGAAACAGAATTCCAGGTAAGTTTCTGGAATATTCCTGAAATCTTTATTATACACCCGACAAAATGTCGGGGGTATATAGTTATACCAAGGTTTCGTCCGTCGGTCCGTCCGTCCGAAAACTTTGTCCGCGCGATTTCTCTTAAACTATTCAGGGGATTCATCTCAAACTTAGTACATATAATCTGTGTCATATGAAGGGGTGCAGTCAAAAGAAAAAAAATGTTTTTATTAATTTTCCATTTTTTTATGAATTTTTCAAACCCTAACGTCCGTCCGAAAACTTTGTCCGCGCAATTTCTCTTAAACTATTCAGTGGATTCATCTCAAACTTAGTACATATAATCTGTGTCATATGGGGGGTGCAGTCAAAAGAAAAAAATAGTTTTTATTAATTTTCCATCTTTTTATGAATTTTTCGAACCCTAAATTACCCTATCCTAGCTTTTTAATTTGTAACTACTGACACACTTAGGCTGGTCGGGGGTATTAGTGAGCCACGCTCACTTTTGCACTTGTTTAGATTGCACTATAGGTGTATTTGTTCCCATTTGGAAATATAATGATGTACTTGTTTCCAACAAACCTGTACAAATGCATGTTTCCAATATCATATTGTCATAAGGTAATGCTACTTTTCAGTAAACAATTGGACATTTTGAGGATATTCTGTCTTGTCAGAATGACCATCTACGCACAAAGAAGTAATTCTATCGAAAGTGCGAGTGTGCAAGTTCACATTTTCACTTCAGCCTGAAGTGTGTGGTCAGCTATAGCACTGTAATAAAAAAACAGGTTACACATCATCTGACTGACTCGATGGGGCACGTATGTCTTGCCTACAACGGCATGCTAAGCTACAACTGACATACTGTTCAAACCATGACATAACTTTATTTCACTGATATGAATAGAGGCAACATAGAGGCAACATACCAGGGTCATCGAGTAACATTACAATCTGGGTACTTTTTAGACTACTAAACTATTTCTGAGGGATCTATATACTGCACATTTTCAAGGAGTATTGCTCATTTTCTATAAAGGTTACGTGTATACACTTGTTTTTCAACAGAAAATTTTCTTGGTCATTAAGCAATGAAGATAAGAATAAAGGTGACACATTTGCTCCCTGCCGTACTCCAATACAGCAAGGGAACGAACATTATTACTAAATACACATGGCTTTATGCAATTGGAAATATTCACAATCACACTGAAACATTTACCATTTATGTCGAAGATCATAAGCTTATTGCACAGTCCATGTCTAAATGCCAAATGTGAATAAAATTTAAAACGTAGCTTCTTTCCTTGTGACGGTTGAAGTTAAATATTGCCATAAAGAATGAAGATGCGATCTATTGAAGAGTAGTTTGGACATCAGATAAATATTGATTTTCTTCAATAAAAGTATTAACTCTGTTGTTTAGGGTAGAAGTAAAAACCCAAGCAGCTTGTAAGTGTAATTGGTCTGAAGTCTTCTGATGACTTTTGATTACTCTTCTTATAAATAGGCTGGATATTTCCATTTAAACATGCTTCTGGTAGGTTTCCAGTATCAAATATTATTTTAAACACTTTAATATAAACACACATAATGTTTTTGATAGGGGTGTTTCAAATACTCAATCATGATTATATCATAAAAGCTACACGCTTTGTTACTTTTAAGTTTCTTAAAGGGCGTCAAAATTTCATATTCAGTGATTCTACTATTATTAGGGTTATCATGGCCAATATTTTCAATTTTTAATGTCTTCATTCTTCATGTTGATTCAACATCGCGTTTTGGTTTACAGCTTTTATAGAATTATCTTTAGATTTTGATCATTTCCAGAAAGATAACTCCACGAGAACCGACGTTGAACCACACTTAGTCGATCATTACTCCACCTTTGACTAGAATGGGGTATTGGCAACCTTTGTATTAATCAAGTCAGTCTCATGGCCGACCCATGACGATCCATGGTAGAATAGGTCTTCAGCAACCAATGCTTGCCGTAAAAGGCGACTATGCTTGTCGTAAGAGGCGACTAACGGGCTCGGGTGGTCAGGCTCGCTTACTTGGTTGATGCATGTCATGGATCCCAATTGCGTGGATCGATGTTCATGATGTCAATCACTGGATTGATTGGTCCAGACTCGATTATTTACAGACCGCCGTCATATAGCTGGAATATTGCTGAGTGCGGCGTAAAACAACAAACAAACAAACAAACTTTTTACTAGTATTAATTCTCGTTTAATTATAGGTTTTTTAAAGGAAATTGAATTGTTCGAAATTTTTTGATTAATAATATTGTATAAAAACTGTTTTAAATTTGGTAGATTAAATTAACAACTGCGATTGTTAGTGGCTGTATCCTCGAAGGGGTTAAAGTACAGCAAGTTATTGTCCCCCGGATAGGATACATAAGTTCCATTTCTTTCAAAGTAAATTCCCTACTGCCTCACTATCGTATGCATTTTTTTCCACGACAAGATACATTAAAATCATCCACGAAGAGTTATCCATCTACTGAATCACTTAAAACCTTTGAAAGACTATTTATTTTTATACTAAATAAAGTGACAGATAAAATACTGCCTTGTGGGACACCTTGATCCTGATGATAATGATCAGACAGGGTAGAGAACTAGCGGACCTGAAATTGTCTGTCAGTTTAACATTTGGATATAAATTGAGGTAAACGGCCTCTCAATCCCAAATCATGTAAATCTTTTAAAATCCCGTGTTTCCAGGTAGTGTCAAACGCTTTTTCTAAATCGAAATAGATAGACATTGCATGCTGGTTATTTATTATAGCATTTTTTACAAATGATTCTAGATGAACTAAATGGTCAACAGTACCTCGATTCTTTCCATAGCCACACTGAATATTTGTAATTAAATTATTTGATTCCAAGTACCATGTTAATCTATTGTTGACCATGCGTTCCATGGTTTTGCAAACGCAACTGGTCAATGAAATCGGTCTATAATTTGAGGGATCACTAAGATCTCGTCCAGGTTTCGGTATGGGTACAACTGTGGCATCACGCCAAGCAGAAGGAAACTTACCTGATGTCCATATATCATCAAAAATTAACAAAAGGGTTTCTAAACATGGTTCTGGTAAGTGCTATAGGAGTTGATAGTGTATATTATCAGACATGGTCATTGCCACAGTTAGCACATTTGATATCATTTGTACAACTGGTGCCATCATGATAGCCACCACAGCGAGAACAAACCACTGAGTAACAACATGATTTTGAACTATGACCAAAGTGTTGACAATTGAAACATCGCAGTGGATTGGGGACATACACCTCCACTCCGATGTTGTATAACCTGCTTTAATACATTGGGAAATAGATGAGTGTGCAAAGGTCAGCAGATATGTATTTGTGTTTTCAATGCCACTCTCTTTCCTGACGGTAAAGCGTTTAACAGCCGTGACAGCCTGATCCTCTAATGTCAGAAAGGCAACGAGCCCTGTCTCGAATAATGCATCTACAAGAGTTTAATGTCATGTGTGCGGACACAGCAACTTCTTCATTTGCAAGTGTATGAATCGATAAAAGAGATTGCTCCGCAAACATTCAACCAGGAGGGAACCACCACGGAGACGATTGACATTCTTAACCTCGCCAAAAATCCCAGAACCAAGTTGTGGGAGAGACATGATGACAGAAAGTAATTCAGAATTCCTGTTCCTCCCACCAACCATGGATCGACAACAAGTACAGAGTCACATAGCAATGGATATCCAAGATGTAGACACCTGGGATACAGAAGTTCTATACTCCAGCAAACATGACGCGAATAGCTATATTTGGTTCGGCCCATGACAACAATTGGAGACAAACATTATTCGGTGGTCAACATCACAAGATTGGCCCATGAGCCACCGCCTTCTGGGATAAGACTCTAGGCAAATTGTTACACATATAATTTGAGAATTTAAACATGTTATACATGGCCAAGGCTAAATAATACATTTAAAAAAATCACGTTTGTGCATACACAATTTTATGCACAGGGCTAGGCGTGACCAGCCGATTCAGAGAATCGGGCTCATTCCACCACCCGTCTAGGTGAAGTAAGGGTTGAAGTGGTGTGTTGGGCAATAGGACCAACGGTTCCTGGCTCCAGTGCCCTCAACCAACAGAATCCTGTCCTCCACCGACACAAGGTCGCAACCCACGGCAAACAGGTTGCCGCATTCAGTCGCCTTTTACGACCAGCAACGGGGTACTGAGGACACATTCTACCCCGGGTCCACCTAGCACCCACCACGAGTGAGTGAGTGATTGAGTGAGTTGGGTTTAACACGCTTTTAACAGTATTCCAGTCATATCACGGCGTCACTCACCACGAGGAGGTTGCTCTTCACGAGTGCCCTGTTGTTTGATACCACACTCGGCAATATTCCAGCTATTGGACTGCTTTCTCTAAATAAACGACTCTGCACACGACAATCAATGAACGATATTAAAGCAACAACCAACGCAGTCAGATAACGTTGAAATGCTTTTATACAAGTCACCGAGCTTAACCACAGCATTCCACATAGTCGCTTCAAACGATAAGCATAGGTTGCAGGGTCGGATGGTCAAAACTCGATTATTTACAGGTCATCATGACATAGCCAGAGTATTGCGGAGTGCAGCATCAAACAAGAAATAAACAAACAATTATCCCGTTGATTACCTATATTCATGTCAATATATACTGAACCGCACAAGAAACATCACCATGGGTAGAAACCTTATTTGTCAAAACACTGTAAACATACTTTGTCATATGAAAAAGATGAAACTGATCATCAAGGTTGAAATTAAAGTGTCAAATGTTCTTAAAGTGAAACACAACACTAGTCTGAGAAAATGGCATCACAAGTCAGTATCTCGTCTGTCCGCCATGTGTGTGTTGATACTTTGAATGGATGAGGCGGTTGATGAAGGCCATAGACACTTGAGCCCACAGTCTGCAGTTGTCGGCCTTGGTCGGACGTCACTCAGCCGTCTTTGAATCTCGTCCCACAATTGGATTTAAATCGGGACTGAGGGCATGCCGCCACTGCATGGTTCTGATGCCATTCTGCTGGAGGAAGTCTCTTGTTGCTCTCGCAGTGTTGGCACGGGCATTATCATGCTGAAACTCATGGTTGCGTCGACGTGCCAAATGAGGAATGGCGTGTGGTCTCCGAGCTCCCGTGACACCATTGCATCTCCCTGGACCAATGTTCTGGAAGACCACAGGGCCGACCCTCTATGCAAGACCAATTCCACCCCACGAGTCTCTCTCAACAACACAAGCATCCGAATAACGGTCCCAACGGCGTCGCCAGACTCTCTCTCTCTCTCTCTCTCTCTCTCTCTCTCTCTCTCTCTCTCTCTCTCTCTCTCTCTCTCTCTCTGCTGTTGAGATACAGTAACGGCTCTCGTCTGAGAAGAGGACTCTTCTACACTGCTGGTGGCGCCAATGCTGGTGCTGTGTTGCCAACTGAAGGTCCCGGCGATGACGTTGTGTCAGAATGGGTCCTCGGTGTGGCCTGTGACAGTGGAGGTGTCTGCTCGTCAATTGTCGACACACGGTGTCCGCATTATTGTGTCTCTGGTGTGTCCCCATGGTCTGTCGAGCAGTTTCCGTAGCAGTAACAAAGCGATCTTGAAGATGCTGTCGCACAATCTGACACAATCGGGGGGTGACCCTTGGTGTTCCACTACGTGGTCGGCCATTTGTAGTATTGGTGCTCTGGTACCGTTGCTGGAGCCTGTAATTCGGGACTGATAATCCTTATGTGGACTTGAAATGCATTTGCTACTTGCCAGGCGGTTTGTCGAGCTTGCAATCGTCCCCTTGGTGTCGCTGATTACTTGTCAATCTTGGCATGTGGTAGCAATTCAATAACGAATGAATGTTATCCGATCTGGGTGGATTTTTATAGGGCAAGAAATGCGGGAACGCATGTCCATTTCAATTAACACGGAACTTACGTGCATCGGGTTACCATGGCCGTTGCCGTGATGCGTTTGGGTGATCGGTTTTATTGTCATCTGCTTTGTGTTTTATCATCATATTTCATTTTTCCGGACAAGATAATGTTTAATTTTAGAAACTTTGACAAAAATTACCGAGATATTTAAATGACAACTTTTTCATGCAATGTTACTTGGGGTGACGTTTCTTTTGCGGTTCAGTATATATGGAATATGGTCGATCTTTCCCTGCATCACGTAAACATGCTGGATTTGCAGGCTGCCACTCTGAAACCACCAAGGGACCTGTTCTGTATCTTCATGTCTCCTTGTGTAATGATATTTTTGTTTCTATAGTGAGTGCGCCTTGCATCAAAAGAAGACAAAAGTGAACTTATATAAAATGTTTTATCATTTAACGTATCCACTGTCATGCATTGACTCTTCGTTTTTGCCTTTCAGTGCAAGGTAAATGGTGCAATGTTGTTTACCTTTCAACATCGTCTCCAGAGAGACAGCGTGGACATAATTAGAATATTTGCGGGAGTCAACTTAGAAAAAGTTTTGTTGATTTGAACCTTCGATAATTATTAGGCGTTATTCTATGTGCAGGAGCAGAGACTTAAGAAAGATAAAAAAAACTCGTTTGTTATGAGAGTGTTCTCGTCTTGGATCTACCTATTTGTATGGTTTATGTCATAATATCTGCCATCACACATGGATGCAGCCGGTTGTTTGTTTAGCTCATCAGCGTCATAAGCGTGTTTGCTTTAAAGTCTCCTCCAGAATCGCTTGATGGAATGAATTGATAATCACTCAATGGAGCTGATACAAAAGCCCTTTTGTTTTTAGAATTGTTCCATTCTCGGGTCCATTAATTTGCATTTTTAATGTCACAACATTTGCGAACACACATTTATGTTGTTTTTAATAGAATATTGACATAGGACGTTTACCTGAATTCTACTTTAGAACCGCGTGATGGATTGAGTTCATAATCAATAAGTATATGGCGGGCCACAAGAGGATACGACTTTGAGCAGGGCATTAGGACATACCATTTTTCCTCTAAAAGACGGGCGTCTTTTAATTTCGCCGGTGTCTATTCTGTGTAATGTTGGAACAGTGACAACTTACTAGCTTACCACATTCCATATTCTACAGTCATACAAAGGGTGCACTTGGAGGAAACGGTCATTATTAATCACAAACAAATCACAGTATTAGAGATCCGGCGTCTAATAGAGGCCCAGCTTTTAATTTTTCGACAGGGCGTATGACCCGGCGTCAATTAGAGGGCGGCATGAATTGGAAGTCCGGCGTGTACTACAAGAAATTAGGTATTTATTTTGAAAAATAACGAGACCCTAAATGCCAAACACATGTTTAGATTACTTCTTAGCGATCCCGAAAACTAAGTTCTTGCAAGAAACAAAAACAAGGTGTCTCATAATCGACAATATTGTTAGATCACCAGCAACAAGGTTAAGGTCACCATACTAGGGACCAAGGGGACTTACGGTACCTCTGCTACCTGCATGGTTCCCCATTGCCAGCAGGATGGACAAGTATGATAGCCCCAAAACATTTATATGTAGGTGTTCATGAATGTACAGAAAAGAGAAAATGTAATTTTACTTGTTTGTTCATTTGTTGTTTTACACCAGTCAGCAAAAGTCAAGCTGTATAACGACGACCAGTAAATCATCAAATCTGGACCAGACAAACCAGTGGATGAAATAATGAGCATCGTTCCACAACCTCTAAGTACAGTCTTAACCCGGGCGTGCCCCATGGGATTCATGCGTCCTAAACCTGTTAGAGTAAAGTAATGCGGAACAATCATCTATAAACTTTAAACGTCAACAGTTTAAAGTCCCCATTGTTTTCAATAGAAACTAAATGTTTTCCAGCTGGTTGTTTTGTGCCCCGAAACATAAGCAAATGCAGTAAACCTGAAGTGAATAAAGTGGAATACTATAGTTGTATTTTGTTGACTGTTTGCATTTTACAAGTGTTACAGAGAATTAAATAAAACACATCAAAACATCACCGGTCGTATGAGCATCGATCCTTGCAATTGAGACACGATGACATGCAATCAACGAAGTCATAGATCCTTTTAGTCGCCCTTTACAACAAGCAGTGGCTGCTGGAGACCTATATTCTCAATCAAAATGCCCACGGGTAGCGAGGATGGTTGCGGCAGTTTGTTTCAAGAGTATCTTCCACATGGTACACTAAGCTGTCAGCAGATTGTAAAAAAAGGAATCAATATATTTCACGAGAATCTGTATAATATTTTAACATCTGAAAATGACATGTACGAGCTCGTATATTCTCTGTGGCGGATTATTCCGCACTGGAACAAAGGCTGACTTTATTGAAGATGTAATAGTTGAACAAACAGAAAAGCATTGCCAGCCGCGTTACGACTTTATACTAGATTCTTTTAAAGAAACACGTTACTCTGTGGATAAGAACATTAATGCCTTTGGTAAATCTTTACTAGATTTGTGCTCAATTTTCAACGTACATATCATGAACGGGAGATGTAGGTCAGACTCAGGACGTGGAGATTACACATTTATTGTATCACTCGGTGCCAGTCTAGTGGACTATGTAATTGCATCATCTTTTATATTTGACTATGTAGCTGATTTCGATATTTCACCACGTGCTGATTCTCCACATCTTCCAGTTTCTGTGACTTTTCGGACGTTTCATCCTCACCCATGTAGCAACAATAGTTCTCGTAGTGATAGCGTGTCTGATTATAAGTTTGTTTGGGATGTTCAGCACTGTGAAACTTTCAGAGAAAATTTCCTTAAAGATGAGGCACAGACTGTGTTAAACATGTCACAGGAAGAAGTGTCCGTCAATATTAATAAGAGTATCGATAGTATAGTTGAGGCAATCTCAAAAGCTGCCTGTGAAATGAAAAGAAAAGTTAAAAGTTCAAATTACTCGGAAAGGGTTAATAAGTGGTTTGGTAGAGAATGTGAAGAATTGAAACGACAGAGGTGTAAGTACCTAAATAGATTTAGACAACTTAAAGACAGTGATTCATTACAACTTTATAATGCAGCAAGAAATAAGTACAATGCCATTTGTAGACAAAAACGAAATAACTACTTCCAAAAACAAAGGATACTGTAACCCAACCCAGTTCTGGTCAATATTAAGAAAACTTAGAGGGAAATATTCCGAAGGCAATGATATCAGCACAGGTGAATGGGTTTCTCACTATAAAACTCTTTTCGAATCAAATAGTAATGCTATGGATATGGACCATGTACACACTACAGAGTGTGACCGAATTCGTGAATCCGATGATGTCGTAACTGATTCTCCAATTTCTTCTCAGGAAATAATGAATAGCATAGATAATTTGAAAAACAATAAATCGCCAGGAATTGACAAAATGCTACCGGAATTCTTCAAACACTGTGCAGATATCATAATACCATATTTATCACTTGTTTTTAATCAAATTCTACCGAGTGGGAATTTCCCCGAATCATGGACGGTTGGCATAATTGTCCCCATCCATAAACATAGTGATATTAACAATACCAGTAACTACGGAGGTATAACACTTTTAAGCGTCTTTAGAAAATTGTTCATATACATTATAAATAAAAGATTACAGAATTGGGCAGATATAATGGGGAAAATTAGTGAAGCACAAGCTGGTTTTCGACAGGGATATTCTACCATCGATACTATTTTTACACTACACATTCTAATAGAGAAATGTCTTAGGAAAAAGAGGTGGAAAATGTTATGCACTTTTCGTTGATTTTTCAAAGGCATTCGACAGAGTAGATAGAACAAAACTATGGACACTGTTAGAATCGCACGGAATTAGCTTGAAAATGAGTAATCTTTTGAGAAGTATATACACCAATGTCAAAGCCTGCGTGAGAAATAATAACGAACTGTCAGAAAGTTTTACTATTGATTTAGGTGTTAGACAAGGCTGTATAATGAGTCCGTTTCTATTTTCCCTTTTCATTAATGAATTAGCTACTCAAATACAAGAAAATTGCTTCCGTGGTATACAGTTACATCCAGATCTTACGGAATTATTTCTGTTGCTGTTCGCAGATGATGTCATACATTTCTCCACGACAGTGATTGGTTTGCAAAGGAAAATAAATGAACTTGAAAAATTCTGTAATGAATCAAACTTAGTTGTAAATAGATAAAAAACAAAAGTTATAGTCTTTAAAAATGGGGGAAAACTAGCATCAACTGAAAAATGGTTTCACAATGGAGAAATTTTGGAAACCACATCTTCCTATAAATATCTTGGTGTTTATTTCACAAATCAACTTTCATGGCATTTTCACGTCAATCAAGCTGCTATACAAGCTAAAAAGGTTTGGACTGGTATCTTTAGACAGTCTCCATTTCTAACAGACATCTCATTTAGATCATATTTTAACAAATTTGATACAAAGATAATTCCAATACTACACTATGGTGCTGAAATCTGGGGTATAGAAATTCATGATCAAATTGAAAAAGTACATTTGTTTGTTTGCAAGAAATATTTAGGAGTTAAAAATAGTACGTCCAGCATAATGGTATATGGAGAAACGGGACGATATCCGATGTATATTCAATCCTACTTAAAAGTTATTAAATACTGGCTTCGCTTGATAAACATGACTAATGATCGAAACCCTAGGAAGTGCTATGATATGTTAAACCTCTACGACAGTACTGGAAAACGAAATTGGGTAACAAACGTAAAAGAATTATTATTTTAATTATGTGTGGTATAATCAGTGTGTAGAATCAGAACCGCTCTTTTTAATGTCCTTCACCCAGAGACTAAAAGATATATATTTGCAGAAATGGTTAGAATTAATGTCCAAATCAAATAAATGTTTATATTATAGAATCATGAAAAGTAATATTGAAATTGAGGCGTACTTCTGTAAACTTGAGTTTAAAATATTTAGAATTGCACTAGCACGATTTAGATGTTCCTCTCACAACCTGTATATAGAGACTGGTAGATATAATCACACTGATAGAAGAGACAGAATATGCACATTGTGTAACACAAATTCAATTGAAGATGTGTTTCACTTTCTCCTGGTATGTCAAGCTTACAAACATTTACGTGATAAATATTTGCCATCTTTCTACTCTGTACACCCGAATGTCTATAAGTTTGTAGATCTTTTAACTTCATCTTGTGATAATATGTTATGTAACCTGTCAACATATGTTTATCACGCGATGTCACATAGAAACTGAATTGTTAGTTAACAACCACGTCACCTACATGTAAATACGCATTGTACTATAGGCCTGTGGCCTTTTAAGTACTGAATAAAACTGATAGAATTCAGAGTAAATGAGTAAAGTGTTGTTTTTCAGCAATATTCTAAGGCTGAGAAAGAGGACGGACCGATTATAATAATCTCTGAGACAGTGGTGGGCGTACCCGGTGGCTCAGACGTTTGAGGCGCCGCAATTCGCTGTACAGAGTTGCATCCCTTGGGCACGCCAGAAACCAATTATTGTGGGTTCGAATCCCGATTCTGAGTTACTGAGAACACAATATGTAAAATGCTCGACTTCCTCATTGATAACATCTACGTAACATTTGGGGGTAAGACATTTAGGCAAGAAGTAGGCATCCCCATGGGCACCAATTCTGCTTCCCTTCTTGCGGATCTGTATCTTTATGCATATGAATCGGAATATCTGCTCGGATTGGCAAACTCAAAACAAGGTAATTTGGCCAAGAAGTTGAACTTAGGCTTCAAGTGTATCGATGATCTGATATCTTTCAATTGCAATCAAATAGCCAATTCCCTTCCACTGATTTACCCACCTGAACTAGAAATATAGGCGACCAGTGTGACCACCTCATCTGTTTCATACTTAGATCGATGCATAAATATTCAGAGTGACAAAACACTCCCTACAAGACTGTATGACTAAAGGGATGACTTTAACTTTCCAAGTCAACTTACCCTTCATGTCGCAGACGCTCATTTTCGGACAGGCAAGGCATTTCGTAATGTTGAATAATTGCGTAATTTTGTTGTTTTTCTGAGTTGTTGTTGTCAGCACGATGCTAAACAATGCATATGGAATCCGGTAATATAACGCACATGTTTTTATACCCATTCTTGGGTGGTGAAAAGCATGGGGCTTGCATAAAAGTCAACTTTTGCATGGAATGCATGCTTTTCTGCAGCAGTTGCGTTTTTGTGACTTGATTCAATACATGTACTACAATACTGAATACCAAACTTTACTTGTTGGAAAAAAAGACTAAAATATTGGTATCACAGGAACTTTTGTTGTTGAGTATATGAATGAACCACAGAAAACCAGTGATGAATGTTCACGAAAAGGGTAAGCATGTTCTGCCCTACCAGTATAAATTGCTGCGTGCCTATTCTTACCCAGAATCTACACTGTAATCAGGTCTTTGTTATCAATATATGATCTTTTAACCTTGCAGAATATTTATATGCACATTGTGACATCTTAAACTTCTAAACCCAATATTATCATTTCACCGATAAAGGATGTGTGTACAGTTTTTATTTTACTTCGCAAACATCTAAGTGCCAAATGACAAAACATCATGTTTTTTCTGACGCAAAAACAAAGATTTGTGATCACAAACTTTAAAACACATAACTGTATCTGCCAGTGACTGTGAACATTCCACAGAATCATTGTTTGCCCGGTCGATAACCATTCAAAACAGGGTTGTGCTATAATTCCAGCTAAATCCCGTTAGTCGGCTTTTGCGACAAGATGCTGAAGACCAATAACAGCAACGGATCTTCACGGGTCCATCGGCATAGAACCAGTCAGCAAACTGGTCAGGCAGAAGAACGCACATAAGTAAATCTAAGCCGTTGCTATTTCTTGCTTTCTAATAACATCCTTCTTCAGTAATGTTTGGCTTGATTGATTTGATTTGTTGTTTTACGCCGCACTCAGCAATATTCCAGCTATATAACGGCGGTCTGTAAAATAAACGAGTCTGGACCAGACAATCCAGTGATTGACATCATGAACATCGATCCACGCAATTGGGATCGATGACAAGCATCAACCAAGTCAGCGAGCCTGACCACCCGATCCCGTTAGTCGACTCTTACGACAAGCATAGTCACCTTTTACGGCAAGCATGGATTGCTGAAGACCTATTCTACCCCGGAATCTTCACGGGCCAGTACTGTTTAGCATCACCATGACTTATCAGAATAAGCTAGTAACGTTAGTGTTGAACTGACCTATCCCCATTGTATCCCCAGTTGGTTTGTGTCAAGACACCCATAATTGAGTGTCACTTTTATTGAATGTTTATAACTCATATGTAACCATATGTGTTTTTATTTACATCAATCAATCACATTAAGCACTTCTTCGTGCTTCGTGGAAACATGTTTGGTCTCTAGGTTAG